TTACCAATGACTGTAGGGTAGAGGCAAAATAAAAAAAATAAAAACCCTGAAAGCAAAAATAAATAATCAAATAAATAAACAACATGTGAGTTTTTAAAAAGTATTTTCCAGTATGCAATCACTCCTGGAGTATACATCTTATGTAATGTATAATAAAATAGAGAGTGAGGACAGAGCGAGAGAGAAACAGAGTTAATTGAAGTTTACCATGACTGAGGAGAGCAAATAAAAAAATAAAAACCCTGAAAGCAAAAATAAATAATCAAATAAATAAACAACATGTGAGTTTTTAAAAAGTATTTTCCAGTTTGCAATCCACTCCTGGAGTATACATCTATTTTAATGTATAAATAGAGAGAGAGACAGAGAGAGAGAGAGGGAGAGATTTTAATATTCATTAATACTGTCTTGTTGAACATACCAGAACCGTAACCATACATAACCGATTTTACTGAATCATTAAGTTTATGTAATCACACTCTTAGAGTATCATATCGAGCAGTAAATGAGAATTCGTAATTTTATAGCTGATACGCCTCTATTCGTATTGCAGTTCTATAACGATTTTATGCGCTATCACAATAGAAGTTTTAATGGCTTCGATTATAGTCAGAATGTATATTTTATTACTATTGTCATTGGTTGATTTATAGATATACTATTGATTTATGATGTAATAAGAATGTATTATCTACTTTAATATATCTCAGAGGAATAACGTAATGGCTATCAGAGATTTTTATTAGTAAAGTTATTGTTTTAATTTTAAACATAATCTTTCGTAACCAATGCATATTTGTTAAACAATTGGTATCGTTATGAAAATATAGAAATGTTTTTTTAGATGGTTTCATTTTGTTTTTAATATGTAAGGAGACATAGAGATGCTGTCTCAATTTTTGTTTGTTATAACTTAGTAAAATGAGTAACCTGTTAGTTCATACAAATGTTGAGACTCAATGATCTATAGAGTTAAAATGATTTTAAAAATGAAGAAATTAATTCTGCAACAACTGTGAAAGCCAAGACTTGAAACAGAATAAAATTTTATTTTCAATAAGTTCCGGTATCATCGGAATTCTTACTGTCGATAGTTTTTCAGTTCTTTTGAAACTAGAATTATTTCTTCTGCCATTTTTCAAGTAAAAGTTTTACAGAAATTTTTATTTTACATTAAATTTGCCACTTTGCTGGTACGCATTAAGCAAATGTGTTGACGTTTATTCTCCACTTGTGATCCTTACTTAACTCGTCAGCAGAAGATCTCTAGGCCACTCGTCGTTGAGACTCACCAGGTAACAGGGAGGAAGAAAGAGAGAGATTTTGTGATTTGGAGTGAATTTGCATTCAAATTGAGGACGCAAAATTTGACTCTAATGTTTTTTCCTCTTAGGGAACTCATTTCCAAGTTACAGGGCCATTTATAGTCATTTTTCTGTCTTTGACCAATTTGGTAAAAATCAGCGTTGGTTGATCATGGTTTTATTCAACGTAACTAAATTATAAAGTTTATGTACTTGTTCGTCGTACAATTTAACGTTCATTAATTTATTAAATAGTACGTTGTTGGCTTTGATGAATTGTTTTATGGGTTATAGGTGAAAATACAAACAAAATATCAAAGAAATCTGACTTTTTTTGGCTAAAAAGTTTTCCATTGGTGCTCCACGTTAGCAATTTTGTTTTTTACATGTCTAAGCTGATGTATACACGTTAAAAAAATAAAACTTTTTCTCACATTTTTCGCAATGGATTTCCCGTTTCGGTCCTCAAATTACTGGCCTAATATTCTTTAAAGCAGCGGTTCTGAAACGTCTGAAGAAGACGAGGTTCTTTTTACTCAGAATAACACACATTTTCGTAATTTAAAATCAAATCTTCGCCTGCGATGAGGTCGATTTTTGAGCCCTGGCTCCAGGGCTATATCACTTCTTTAAATATTATTCACTGTTTACGGAACATCATGTATGTAGTGAAATTTATGAAAAGGTAAATTCTTACATTTTTTTAATTAAGAATAATTGACAACACTCGAATTACAGTCGCAAGGTAAGGTTGCTTTCTAGGCATACATAGAGAAAAAATATGGTAACTGTAACCCACACTTTTGTCGAGAAACTTGACCGTAAAATAGAGTCTATTAAGTCTGTGGTTTAAAACCAAAGTACTTAACTACAATTTCTAGGACAGAGCTTTGGTTGATAAACCTGACTGTAAAACGGCTTTTAGAAGCACCGGATTCTGGAAATTTGCTTTGCACGAGTGGAGAATGTGGTCATCCATAAACTCTTAACGCATGATTTGTCGTCTTGCTTAATTTTATTATTCATCTTAAGGTTTGCTATGTCGTAAGGTTTTATCACATCAAGTTTCGAGAAAAAAATATACCTCAATGTTTTTTTTAATTAAACAAAAAATAGTTTTTTATACTACGAAAAAATAAAATGAAGGGAACAAATCAAACTGAGTATGCGGTGGAATATTTTGAATATCTCTAGGAAATGGAGCTAAAGTTGCTTTATTTCAAGCAGCTCGCCTTGAGTTCCAGACGTCATTCTCTCAATGTTTGTAAACAGGGCGTTTAAAGCAATTGGTGCAAATGGCGCATTGATCAAGGCTAAATTTAAAGAGTTTTCAAAGGTTGGGTAATTTTTAATAGATTCAATTAGTAATCATGGAAATAATTGGGTCAGATAATCACTTATATTTATATCATTTTGAGAACAATTTACTCGTTTGACATAAGACCTAGTTTATTGATCGGGACCATGAATGTTTTATTTTTCTTTCTATAATATCGCTGTCCACTCTCGTCTTTGAATGTGTTACTCGACTATGAAATATTAGTTAGTTTATTAGTCATTAGTCAATCAATGAAGAACTATGAGTAGCACTCAACGTCTCAGAGATTATAGGCATGTCGTGTTTATTTATAATGTACAATAGAGGAGCCAGTATTGATCCTTGGAGTACTTTGCTCCTAGAATCCCTTTAGGGGATTATATTACATGGGTGGTAATATGATCATGAGTTTTAGAGAAGTACCTGACGCAAACTTCATTAATATTTTACTGCATTTAATATAAATAAACTATAAGTAAGGGAATTTTAAGTTTAAATTTAAGTAATTGATTGATCTAAGTATTTTTTTTTAGTTTTAATTTTTTATTATTTATTATTAAAATTAAAGAAGAAACTCACACTTACCTACTTAAGCCCCTTTGGATCTACTCTTGTCAGATACGCGGTAGATTCACATACGTAAACTACAAATTTTTCAGTCAAAAGGCTTTATTGCTGTAACTAAATCTTCATGGTTTGTGAAAAAACGTTACTTAACATAAAGACATTTACATGCCAACAGTTAACGACCACTTAGATACACACTACAGTATATTTCGCAATAACTTACTCGGTCATACTAAAACACGCATACGAGGTATAATCACAATTTACTTACGTGACAAAACGTTTAGGAGCTCAAGAGAAGCTGAGCAAGGGATCTCCTCGCTTAAATAAGGATATTAAATCCAGATAGAAAGGGATGACGGAATGAAGATATACATATATTTTTAATATGTGGATAATATTTTATGTATACTTCGTTTGAATATTTATAATATTTCTTGCGGTCACAGATCTTAAATTTTATTTCATTAATAAGTAATTAAAGTATATATATTTACTTTAGTAGTGCCGATGGATTTCGAAGGATTATTTATGAGTTAATACTTCCGTAACTGAAACATATTTAATGATAATCCGTATAAGCACCTTCCAATTTGTTATGGTCCGGTAACCTCTTAGATTTTTACTTTCATCCTCTTATTACGTATTATGAAGATTGTATTCACGATCCTTTGTAACTACCTTTATTTTGGAGACCTTAACGTTAATTTTTTTTTTTTTAAACTTCTTTATTGAGATATTACAATCTGTCACATTCAAGGGCAATATTAACAGTGATATAGAGTAGCTCGTTCATACTATACAATAAATACAAATAATAAACGGCAATATAATAATACTAAAATAAATTGTATCTTATGTTAATTAGGGTTCATGATTCATAGGTGGTCTTGGTCATGTGGTCGTGGGCCATTATGAAGTTACATGCCATAATATGTTTTTTTATTTATTTTAAGGCTGTTTAAATGTCCAAAAAATATAACTTTCTGTCTTTTCTTCCATCGTTACTTCACCTGCAAAAGCTCAGCGTGTTGAATCAACCATTTTGAAAAAAAATTCAGAAATTTGAAATTGAAAATCAGTGTTTCAACTGCCCCCCGCAGTGCTACATCCTACACCCTGATGAAGACCTGCAAAGTGGGTCGAAACGTCGGCAAAAATTAAATAATTCTATTTTTATCATTTTGAAAATACATTAATATATGCTTCAAGATTGGTTCAGGACTCTGTTATGAATATTGTATTGTAATGCTGTACTTAATTGTTGATTTAGTGTAAACGCCAACATTTAAATTGGATAGGATCAAATTTTGATTTATTCGTTATCTTCATATACTGATCGCATAGGTTCAAGTGATGAACTATAACGGAAACTAATCTGGGAAACTAGGCTCGCGAATTAATGCATAGTGGAATGATATTCTACATGCATCACAAATCACCGTTATATTTCGAATATTTCCTTGTTACACATACATTACATGGGTGATAAATATTCAGGAAGCAGTCTTTTTTTAAAAAAATATTATTTTTTTTTATTTTTAATTTTTTTATTTATGCCAACGTTTCAACCAAAACATGTGCGTCATCTTAAGGGCGTGATTTGAGCACTGAGGGTATTACAGTACTTGAATGCCGTCGGTGCTGAAACCACATGTGAAGATGACCCACATGTTTGGGTTGAAACGTTGGCATAAATAATTTTTTTTTTTTAAAAAAGACTGCGTCCTGAATATCTATCACCCATGGTATGGAGAACAGTCGACTCACTTCCTTCAATACATACATTACCTTGTTCAGATTTCACGCATATTTCCTACCTATTTGTTGAAAGTTAATCAGGCTGCCCTATATCCTCGCGGTTAAAACAATGGCCTCATCTTTGAGGATCGGTAAGAGGGTACCGTTAGCTTAGGGCTTTCTATAGCAAAGTTCAGCTACTTTTATCGGCCTCCTGGCAATATCTTACCAGGGCCGTTCTGTCTGACCAATAGAAACATTTTATTTCCTCTTGCATCCGATGATTCCGCCTGCATCCTACCATTATCCTTCGGCTTCCTGGCTATTTGATTACTTCCTTTCAAGCTTTAATTTTTCCAATCAAGCGATTTCGATACGGCACGACCTCGTTCCATGAGAAACGGGCCGTGGTCGAGACTCGAGGATGGGACATGCTATCGCGGGTCACGTAGAGAAACTTACCCGATACTTTCATCTGAGATCTGCCCGGAATATAAGCCCGTTGCATGATCCGTCGAAAGTGTTGGCCGCTGCACAAGTGTAAAGATTCCGGCAGTTGGCGTCGGACGGTGAAACGCGGGAGTTTCCCCACTGGTGCCTTTGTACGAGAATAATAAGTGGATGTGTTCATTCTCATCATGAAAGTAAAACCTCGTTTTCTTATCAACGAATTGTTATTTCTTCGTTTCCTTTCTAAAAGCATTACCTAAATGTAAAATATATTCCTAAAAGTAGGCCAGCGTAAGTAGAACTTGAAATAAACGGTCGTGGGTATTTTAGACGAACTCTAAGTTCCTCAAGTTTTTTCATGTGAAAAATGCTGCAGTTCGGTTTTCTCACAACTTTCAGATTTTTTAAATAAAAAAGATATATAATATAACATAGATAAATGTATAAACTATATACAAATATAACGTCAGGTTATAGTGTACAAAATAATCTTAATAATTATTTAACCTATCATCATATTAAGGAAGGGAAAATTGGTGGTAGACTATTCGCGGTTTGCTGATCTGTCATTCTTACACGTGATATTCAAACAGCCTAAAAGCAGATTGAACTTAAGTATTGAGATCGAACAGTAGAACAACTGAATATATTATCTGTAACAAACAATTCCATTCCATTCATTCATTCCAATGGCACTACAGCCCGATGTGGACCCTGGCCTCCTCGATGAGCCTTCAATTCCGTACTCCCAAAAGGATCCGAGCAACAAACCATTCCATAGGGACTAAATATAGAAAAGTAAAGGGAGGCTCATATTTAAATGCCTCGGAAATAATTCAGAAAGAAAGAATTGTGAGTCTAGATTCCATCATTACACATAAATTATCTATAAAAACAAAATTAATTCCTAAAAAATCAGAACTACGCTATAATACAGTGATCAATCCCGAATGTTTTTATGATGAGGAACCGAGAAAAATTTTGAACTTTTTTGAATTTTGAACTGTATCTAATTTTGAGCGAGAAAAAAGACATATAAAAAATAAGAAAAATACAAAATCGTAATGTAAATTCTGGGACCAAAATTTACAGGTGGGCCTTAAAGACTCAGGAATACAGCAGAAATCAAACGATATACATCAGAGACCTTTTAGTGATTTTTGTCGACACATCAAACGAATATTCTTTAAACATAGAAATATTGGAACTTCATGAGAAAAGGAGTTACCGTACAACTGACTCTATAAAATGGAATATGAAATAAAAATATACCTCAAATTATCAGGGATTAAAAAAAAAAAAGAAAAACTTTTGATCAAAAGTAAACACTTAGCAATCGATTATGAATAACTGCTAAAGTGTAGTACTGAGTAACATGGACCGAAGAGAAAAGAAGCTCGAAGCAAGAGGATGAAAGAAATATTGAAAGCAAAGAAAGGCTATGGAGCACATCTGAGTACTTTTCACAGTCCCAATGAATATTCGGTAGTATTAACATAAATATGATAAACATATATGTATCCTATAGATTATTTCTAAAAGGTGTTTTTGTCGGTACGCCATAACTTCTTCAATTCTTCATCAAATCCAAAGATTGACCACTCATTTTGAAGATATTTTTTTCCTTCACATGCGAAAAATAGTCCTATCTCTCCGAAATTTCTGGTAAAAAACTTGGGAAATTGGGAAAAAAAACTTTATTTGCGAATAATTCAAAAATTGTGTATTTTTTTCTTGATTGTACTCATGCTAATTAGAAAGATTACTACATTACCCTCAAAAAAAAAAAAAAAAATACAAAACAACGATACATTCCATTAGTTTTGGTATACTTAATAATGTCTTCCTGTTTAAAGATATTGCATTTATGAGTAGAGTAGTCTACTACATTTTTTTTCCTGGCTGATATATTTCTTATTAACTTTATTATTTTTTAAAGGGCATTATTTTGTCTTTATTACTTTTATTATCTTTCCAGTCAGCGTTTAAAAATAGGTCCTAGCAAACCAATTTGTACAAACATTTTGGTCTATTATGTTTAATGGAATAAAACCAAGGAAAAAATATTAATTCCTTCCTTACATAATACATAGCAACTATTTATTTCCATATTGTTTGGCTATTCTTCATTAAACAAAATTTTTGCGAATTTTTCGCGCGGGCCAACTAGTCACTAATATTCGCATTGGGGGCAAAATATCAGAACAACTAATGAACGATAAAATATGTCATTCTTCATCTTAAATTTCTTAAAAGTAATCGAAGGTTTTTAACTATTAATTTACAAAATTTTCTCCATTATACTCACAGTGCAAATCTAACGGAATTGTGAAAAAAAACTAAATCATAGGAATTGCTGATTGATGTAAACTTTAAAATCGTTTATAAAGAAAACAATATTCAATTTACTAAGCTGTTGGTTAGAATCTAAAAATCATTCGTACTCTTGTGCAAACGTTTTTTTCTTCGTGTTGGTTGAGTAACTTCAACGCCGCCAAAACATTGATTAGTGGTGGGGAGGACACCTGGTGACGAACCCTTAGAACGTGCTGAAACCTTGGAGATCGATATTGCATGAAAGAACACCAACACCCCTGGAGGTCTATAAATAAAGCTCTGTTTGGTTTGCCTCGAATAGCGCCTGATTACTCTTTTATTCCCGGGATTGCTTGTTTTATTCCTTTCCTCTAAGTAAACACCTGCTTGTTTTAGTGGGCACTGCGAAGAAGACATTCAGGTATTTTGAACGTAGTTTAGAATTTTCTAGTTTCAGGAATAGACCTTTTACAATCCGTCTTCTAACAGTAATGGGAGAAATAAATCGTTTCACTCACATCATATATTATATCGAATTCGGAAGCCTCGGCCCCACAATAACCTCAATGTATGACCAACGTTCGGATGTCGCCGAGCTTGTAGCAAAGACAAACAGAGCTTTCTTCTCTCTTTCAAAGCTAGACCTGGACACTAACCAGCACTCTAGAACGAAATATTGATATATTTGGGAGAAAAATTCTCCGCACGATAACCGAAGTTACCTGGGATCAGATTACCAACGCATGGAGGAGAAATACTAATAAAGAGCTGCTTGCAGAAACTGGTCAATCAATATCTCATGGTATAAAGGCAAGGAGGTTAAGATGGGGAAGACAAGTATCTCAAGACAAGGAAAGAGGCCAATAACCAGATGGATAGATCGAATCACCAAAGATGCAATTGAGCTGCCTGCAGATAAGTGGAAAGAGATAGCCAAAGACAGGCAGACAATATTTAGAAAACAATTGTTTATTTTATCACATTTGGAAATATTAACAGAAATAAAAAGTAAGTTAAAACTGACATAAGTAAGTAAAGGTAAGTTTGTAGAGAAATAAGATAATGTATTATTTTTTTTATACATTAATCCCCACCGCACTAGCAGCAGTCTATTTGATTTCGGTGATTAGGTAGAACAGATTTCTGGAGGTAGACAGCTGTTACAGTGTAGTAAATATCTTATATTTAAATGAAAAATTAATTTAACTCAAAAAAAGACTAGCGGTCCTGCTGGAAGGATATTTGAATTTATCAATATTAACCCTTTTTTGTGTGCGTGCGGTTTTCTTATTAGGATTAAATTATGTCATTTTGTTGTTATGTACAATTTAATACATTGAAAAAACAATTTAAAGTAAGAGTAACCTGAAGGGGAGGAAGGGAGGAGCAGAAATTGATATTTGTAGAAATAATTTTAAATAATCGGTCTTGTTTGGGTTAATTAGCTGTAAATTTGTACTTGGCTGGTTCACGCGAGAAGTTAGACCATATTCTCTTGATTAGGGGAGGCCTTCAAGTTGTAACATACCTGTAAAACAGGCTAGTAAAAAAAAATAAACTACTTAAAAACAAAACAACAAACAAATAAAGTATAATTTGTTTTATTCTTTTCGAAATGTATAATTTCTTTTAGCTTAGCTTAAGGTGAGACCAAATTTTTCAGTAATGTGATATTTTGTCTAGGTTATAAGTATGTATTGGCCGCATACCGTTAAGAAATCACAATTGTTAGTAAAGGAGTTTACATTGTTAATAATAATTAAATTTAAAAAAAATGCATTATTAAAAGCCGATAGACGGTAGTGATTAAAGGAAGATTTGTTAAACATGTGCCACTGTAACCTATGAAGGGTCTTGGGTTCAGTACTGGGTAAGTACTGTTTCTTGTTCAACGGTTGCGCAGGGAAGTGATTGGTCCGAGATCGTGCTCAACCGCTGAGAAACATTTGATAATTTAAAACAAATTAAAATATTATCTATTTTGAATATTTCACACTGTTCCTATAGCATGATTTTATTATAGCTTTTCTTGTTCTAAGGTTGTTGTTGCAAGTTTGACTTAATAATGTAAGTTGTATTGTGATATCAGTAAAGGGTATACATAGAGTTTCTATGTAATAAATGTATAGTATGGTGGTATTATTTTAAAAAAAAATTGAGGTTTTTATTAATTATTTGATTTACAGTAAAATAGTTTCAGGTACCAGAATTTGTCGAAATAATATTCTTAACATAAGAGACAGATTTGTAGCGCTTTTTCTTCTTTTTTAAACTTTATTTTTATGATTATTTTATTGAAATTTACAACTGTAAACATATACACAACCAGTAAATCTGGTTAAATATAGGAATATATAACATGAAGGCACTTGTGAAGAAGCTACCCATTAGTAATACCTCAAAGATAAATTAATTTAGGAGATCCCTTGGCCATCTTCTTTTCAGACGCCTCGGAGGGTTGTCAGAAATTGTGTTGGATGAAAGGTTACAAACTAGAGGATGAGGTGCCAAAGGGTTTGGAATGAAAAGAGGTATATCTAGTTCGGGCCAAGTCTTCCACAAGAGGAATGTTGAGTTCTTTATGGATAGTTTTATTTGTTACATAATAAGGAGCATTTAGGATTTCACGGAGGATTTTGGATTGTAAGGATTAGATAGGGAAGAATTTGATGTTCTTGTAGAGTCACAAAGCTTAATACCGTATGTCCACTTGGGCCTGATGATAGTATAAATGAGTTTTTTTGTAGAATATTGGAAGTTTAGAGCGTTTGTCAAGTAAGTGTTGTAGTAGTCGGAATCTGTTGGCAGTTTCTTGTCTTTTAAGTCTAGTATGAGGATTCCAGGTAAGGCGTTTGTCAAGAAAGAGTCCTAGGTAACGGATCTGTTCGACAGGGGTCAGTGGAATATTGTTAAAGGATAGGTGGAACAGGATGATGTACGTTTACGGCAAAGGTTAAAAGTAATTTGTTGGATTTTTTAAAAAAATTTAAATTCAACATTATATTCATTATTTTTTATTGGATTTACATAATATTTATCTGTATTAAAGTATGGTTTTTGCCTGCCTATTTAATTCTAACCTAATAAAAAAATTAATATTCAGCGTTTATTTTTTTCTTTCTTTTTCAATTGCTTTG